ATACAATATAAGCCAACCACAAACCATAATATATGAATTTTGCATGAATTGGAACTCAAACGACCGAGAAAAATCCGAAACAAAGCTGAAACATTGTAAAAACAGCATCTAAAACCTTCTTTTTACGCATGTAAACAAGCGTAATCAGCCACGACACTTCACGCTGTTTCCACCTGAAAGAGCAGGTCGAAGATCTGATCCGGAGGGGTAATTTGAAAAAATACGTCGGCAGACGTGAAAGGGCCGAGCCCGAGGAGGCGGCTCAGGAGGAGAAGCGAGAGAAGTCACCACCGCGAAGACGAAAGGAAGATCTTCCCGCCATTATAAACACCATCCATGGGGGTCCGAGTGGTGGGCGATCTGGGCAGAAGAGGAAAGCCCTAGCCCGAGAAACCGTGCACGAAGTCTGCACTTCGTATCCAAGGGAGCCCGCAGTGCCGATCTTATTTGATGACCAAGACAGTGGGGGAGTGCACATGCCCCATAATGACGCCCTAGTAATCGCCCCACCCATAGATCACGTGAAGGTGAGAAGAGTTCTTGTCGACGGTGGAGCGTCGGCCAATATCTTATCATTCTCGACCTACACGGCCCTAGGGTGGGAGAGGAAACACCTGAAGTTCAGCCCGACGCCTTTGGTCGACTTTGCAGGGGAGTCAGTCAGCGCAGAAGGATGCGTCTCGCTCCCTGTTACCATCGGCGAGGGAGATCAACAAGTAACTAAGGTTGCGGAATTTGTTGTGATTGATCGGAGCTCTACGTACAACGCCATAATTGGTCGGTCCTTGATTCATGATCTCAGGGCAGTTCCGTCCACTTACCACCAGGTCTTGAAGTACCCCACGTCGGCCGGAATTGCGACAGTTCGAGGTGAGCAAAAAACGTCCAGAGAATGCTACGCCGCCGCGATGAAGGGATCAGCCGCTTGTGCAGCGGTCACAGACGCGACAGACCCATGTGCTGACGAACCAGAGCCGAGCCGCGGTACCCTAGCTAAAGAGCTAAAACTTGTCCCCMTGCTGGGGCCAGAAAAGTAGGTCAGCGTCAGCAGCAGACTGGGGGTCGAGGTAAAAGAAGAGCTCGTCGGTTTTCTGAAAGCAAATGCTGACGTGTTCGCATGGTCACATGGCGACATGCCGGGTATAGACCCGAGTATAATGGTACATAGACTTAATGTAGATCCTAGCTATAGGCCTGTGAGGCAAAAGCGTCGACCTGTCGACGCCGAGCAAAGTAATGTAATTTGTAAAGAAGTCGAGCAGTTGCTACGAGCTAAATTCATAAGAGAAGTTCATTACCCCGCGTGGCTATCTAATGTTGTTTTAGTTAAGAAGTCAAACGGCAAGTGGCGTGTCTGTATTGACTTTACGAGCCTCAATAAGGCGTGCCCGAAAGAAAGTTTTCCCCTACCTCGGATAGATCAGCTCGTCGACGCAACGGCAGGGCATGAACTCCTCTCCTTCATGGATGCCTACTTCGGGTACAATCAGTATAACGCCCCAAGATGTTATATACCATCCTAGGAAACGCGAAATAATTCACCTGGCTAGCCTTAACTCTAAACACGAGATAATCAACTCCCTGGGAAATAATTTAAATGAATTAAAGCTTCGACTCCCATACGTTCCACCAGAAATATCAATTTTATAAACTGCCAAAACTTCGCTCTCTGTAGGCAATTTAAAAACAAAGACATCTCATATCCGCCTCAGTGGCTACARTTCTTAAATAAATAAAACAACCGTACACCTAAACTCCAACGACAACAGTGACGCGTTTACCAGCAACGTCCATAACAAAATAAAGTAGTTCTAAATAATACAAAATTTTTCCTCGGTCCACACCTAGCAATAACATAAATCCCAACGCTACTCGTACCAAACGACCCTTCCCTCTATCCTCACTAACTCGACTAGTGATCCCTCCTCGGTCAAGCCCTCTCCACGTCATCACCGCGGTCGACCCTGTTCACACCTGAAAACAAATAAGGATAAAAAGGGGGGTGAGTACGTAAGGTACTCCGTAAGTAGCACTTCCTAACTAACACAAAAATCATGCTCACAGTCACGGCATATAAAATAAAACGATAGCAAGGCAATTAAATAGACAGCGAGAGATAGCAAACAAAACTTGACATTTACATACAACAACCATGCGTCGGAACTACCAAGACTACAACCAATGATTCACTAGCCCTTGTCCCATAGTACTAAACCTTCCTCTACACCCCCCCTGTGTTACTCCCCGCTTAACTTCTCGAGGCATGACGGCTCTTGACATTTATTCCCAAGATACCGCCTCCCCTCCTTTTACAGTACTTGATGTTCGACCTTGCCATTTATTCCCAAGGCCTAGCACCACTACTTTGCAAGCACCACTCTACTTTAATCCCTCAAGTCTAACTCCTCGAGTCGCATTGACCCTTGACATTTATCCCCAAGGCCTCAATACTCCTCTACAGAAATTTGATGTTCGGCCTTGCCATTTATTCCCAAGGCCTGAACTGTGCACCGGTCCTTGCCGTTTATCCCCAAGGTACCGATGACTTCCCAGCGTATTGGTCCTTGACATTTATCCCCAAGACCCCAATACTCATTTACAGATATTTGACGTTCGGCCTTGTCATTTATTCCCAAGGCCACTACTCAAGGCTTTGAACCTCCAAGCGATTTATATGCATTTTCAGATCAGAACACCCATAGTTAACGGACTGCCAACCCGTCCCTTCCCCCTTCACCCTTCACCACTTCACTAACCCTCCCATGACCACCTACAGGTAAATTTCCCACATTCCAATTCACTGCACAGTTCACAAGCATGCTTTTCCTTGTAATAAACAAGACACACCCAACAGCTCACAATTAAAACAATATAAACTAAATTATCAGTTTAACAACGCGAGCATTTCATTTACAACATATTTGCAAAACGTCATGAGCTAGTTACTCCTAACCACAACAATTTAGAATCTACTAATCACCTACAACAATAAGAATAGAAAGCATGTTTCCTCATAAGTGATCAATAATAGAAAGACGGCAACAAAATCACTAGAAGTTCACAAATCAAAACTAACAATCCCTACATGCTCAATTAAATTATTTTAGCAAAAAAAACCACCATCAAAACCATTCCGTTAACGCTAAATAACGCACGCACTCTCCCCTTGGTGCTACTTACACAACCACGTCCTTAAGTTTGCGTCGAACTCACACCTACGCACAAAAACAGAAAAATACAGCAACATAAATATACTGTTTAGCCTTCGAAAACAACTCTAAGAGGGTTCAACGGGTCTCATTACCGCAAAACGACTTCGTGTAGGTGTGGGTAAATTAGATCTAGCTTGCAAAGGGTTGGGTAGCGTAAAACGGGCTTCGAACGGATGAAGTTAATCATCGGATACCACCCAAAACACTGCTATCCACGTTTTTACAGCAGCGAGAAATGCCCAAAATGACCTCCAACGGCTTCGATTTGTTGTCCGTTACTACAAAACAATTTCGCTTAGGTGTGGGTATTCCAAATCGATTTCGTTTAGGTGTGGGTAATCCAAATCTAACTTCGAACAAGGGTGGGTCAAAGAAAATTACCGGGCTTCCCGGATCTAAACTATTCGAGTCGTTGGAGTTTGTCGGATCGAGGGAAAACACCGTGAACAGCCACCACG